GATTTATGTGTGTGTGAGAGAGAGAGAGAGAGAGAGAGAGAGAGAGAGAGAGAGAGAGGAGAGCAGAACAGAGAAGGCAAGGCTGACAGAGCAGAAACAGAGGACGTGAAAGTGTGACATCGTCAGGAATGTACGTGAATTTTTATCCGTTTTTTCGTTGTTTTATGTACGCGGCATTTTCTTCATGGTATATGCTTGTGACCTTTTCTTTCTGTGGGAAAATCTTTTGCGTGAAACTTTATGTAGAAAGTTGTGATCGTTTTCTTGAATTTGTCGTAACGGTACGTTTACACGATATTGTCAGTCTGCTAAACACATTCTTCAATTAGAGCTTGATATAGGCCTAAACATTTAATCAAAAATATGAAATCAGTTTTGCGTTGTTTTTTGGCTGCATGATGGGTGGAAGTGACAAAGGTTGTCAGGTCCACATCGGTGCTGTGTGTATTAATGGGATTAAGAGGTTTAAGTGAGGATATAAGGGAGCACATGGCTGGAAACGTGGTTTCGGTAATGCGTGTCGGTACACGCATACGCCACGTACGTTACAGCATAAAAAGACGCAAGACTGAGAGTAATTGCAGTGATATCAAAATGTTCACTGCCAAATGTGTTGACTTGTATGGTGATCGAACTTTATCGTTACTTGTTTTGTAGAGTATAAATATAGTTATAATGATTTAGTAAAGTTGAAAATATAGTTTCGATCGGCCAAGAGTCCGAAGTCACGATGGGGCATCGTGTTATGAAAAGGGGAAAGATAAATGGGATGATGCTCCATTAGAAGAGGTTTCCAACTTTAATGTCATTCATGTCAGGATATAAAATGGGGTTATCAAGGGGGGTTAGATATAAAGTAGATATCAAGGGGGGTTAGATATAACGATATAAAAAAAGCTATTAAAGTCACTAGCCTTCGTTTTGCTCGCCTTCGCTGCGCGAGCAAGTGAAACACAGAGCGGGGGCATGTTTGCTTCGTTACGCTGGCCTTCGTTAGTCGAGCAAGCAAAATTGAGACTGGGATATGTTCGCTTCGTTTCGCTGGACTTCGCTGGACTTCGTTGCTCGAGCAAGCAAAATACAGAGCGCGGCCATGTTCGCTTCGTTTCGCTGGACTTCGCTGGACTTCGTTGCTCGAGCAAGCAAAATCGAGACGAGGGATATGTTCGCTTCGTTTCGCTCGCCTTCGCTGCGCGAGCAAACGAAATATAGAGCGGGGGCATGTTTGCTTCATTTCGCTGGACTTCGCTGGACTTCGCTGGTCGAGCACACAAAATACAGAGCGGGGGCATGTTCGCTTCGTTTCGCTGGACTTCGCTGGTCGAGCAAGCAACATTGAGAGTGGAGTATGTTTGCTTCGTTGCGCTGGACTTTGCTGGCCTTCTTGCTGGTCGAGCAAGCAAATTTGAAACTAGGGTATGTTCGATTCGTTTCACTGCACTAGGACTACTGTGTGCAGAATAGACACACTGTGTGCGAGCAGTTATTAAAGTTTATTGAGTTACCACACAAGTTTTGGATTTCTACTATATCATTTTATTCAACAAACACAATTCAACGTTACAAAAGCATGCAGGTAGTTATTGCTTGTAAACATGTTAGAATAGTGAGCGCATGATCTACTAGCGCCACCTAGCGAGTGAGCGGTGTAGTTATATAGACATTCTATATACGGTAAAACTCGCATAAGTCGACACTTTTGGGACCAGCATATTTGTGCCGACTTACCAAAATGACGACATTCGCGTAAGTCGTCATTTTGTCGACTTATATGTAGAGCTCCCCTCCCAGGCGCCCATCACCCCTACATCTACCTACTCCTACATACACACCCTACATACCCTACATACCCCTACATCTACATCTACATCTACCAGTCATAAACGTGCTCCACACGGTAGCATATGTTGGTGCAACGCTCTGCCGAGGTACTGACGTCATACTGACGTCACTGCATGTACCGACGACGTCACTGCATGCACGCGCGCACCGCGCATGTGCGGCCGGCATGTGCGGCATGTGGGTTAATTATTCTCGGCTGAGCCGAGCGCCAACTCTTCTCAGTGTTGCACCACAACATGAAATAATATAGTTCTCGTCTAAAATACAAAAATTTTGAAGCCAATTTAATTATTCTCGGCTGAGACGAGCGCCGACTCTTCCCAGTGTTGCACCACATGCAGTATAAACTATAAAGGCCTTGTATAATGATGTAGCCAATTATTCTCGGCTGAGACATGCGCCAACTCTTCTCAGCGTTGCACCACATGCAGTATAAACTATAAAGGCCTTGTATAATGATGTAGCCAATTATTCTCGGCTGAGACGTGCGCCAACTCCTCTCAGTGTTGCACCACAACATGAAATAATATAGTTCTCGTCTAAAATACAAAAATTTTGAAGCAACATTGGCTACATCATTATACAAGGCCTTTATAGTTTATA